CCTGGCTCGGATGGCTTTGTATAGGGTATCGACATCGCGATTGCGATATTCCACCGGCCAGACATCGCTTTCTTCCTGCCGATTGGCTTCCAGTGCCATCAACACAGCTTTACGGAACTTGTCGGCTTTGAGCTCCTTGTCCATGCAGCGGATGAGAGAATCGCTGTAGCGCTTGTCTTTGAATGAATCTTTGATCTCGCGGATCTCGTGGTTTTGTCGGCCCATTAGCGATTCGATAAGGAGCTCTCTCTTCGCCGAGTTGGACTGGTACCAGTAGTTTGCCCAGTAGCCCTCGCCTTCGTATTTGCCTAGGGCCGTCACGTAGGCAATTTTGCCAAAATTACCGTTGGTCTTCAACTTGATGTGTTTGGCGATGTTGATACCCCTGCCTTGTACTTTGCAGTGTCGCTTGTACTCGGCTCGCAACTCGAGCATCTGGTCGTGTGTGAGGATTGGGAGGATTTCGCATATAGTCTCCACATCTGGCGTTCGCGCCGCCAGTGCGTCGACAAGGGCTAGAGCGTCATCAGTGGCATCGTATATTCTCGCTTTCCGCTTCTCCTTTTCAGGGAGGCGCTCGTCGCGGCCATATGCGGCCATTGCCAACTTGTCGGTATGCCGGGAGGACCTCGAGGGGCTGGGCGTTCGTCGCGAGGAGGTGGAATGAGCACGGCGGCGGCGGCCATGACCAGACTCACGAGGGGAGAGAGTATCGAGAGGAGGCAGATGGTCAAGATCGTCATCTAGCATCAGCGCCTGAGGCATAGGGCTGATGGACTGGTACGTTCCATGGTACGCTTCTAGCAGAGGACTCGGCGGCGGTAGTCCGGAGGGGAATCCCCCAGGCATGCCTCCCGGAATGATAGTTTGTATATCGGGTCTGTTCCCGCTGACGGACAGCCTATCCATGCGAAGCCCATCCGGCCTGTCGCCTGCGCCAAGGTGACCTTGTGGACGCATCTCTACTACATTACGGCCATCGTGTGTGCTCATTGGCCCCGAGTAGGAAGCCGCTCGGTGATGATCAGGGCGCGGCGAGTGACTGCCCATTGGAGGAGGTGGGTAGAACGACTGGTCGGCTGGGGGCGGCTGAGGAGCCTGTGGCATGGTCGCATACTGAGATGGCGATGGAGGGGCCTGTGATGCGTACGGGGACTGCGGAGGCGGCGCGTGCGATGCATACTGAGACTGCGGCGGGGGAGCTTGCGATGCATACTGCGATTGCGAGGAAGGAGCCTGCGGCACGGCTGTGTACTGGAGTTGGGGCGTCGGGGGGTAGGAAGGGCTTATGGGCTGGGAGTTGTGCCGCACGACTGGCGGCTGGTTGTTGCTGCCCACGGGCTTCGCGGTATACTGGATATTCGTGGGCGGACTCGCATACTGGAAAGCGCCGTTGGTCTTCGCTGTCGCCGTCGGGGTGCGCGTGGGCGCGTTGTGGGATGCCGACGTTGCGGTATAGGCAAAGCCTTGGGCGGTCGGCGCATACTGGACGTTGCCCGGCTGCGCATACGCGACGCCCGCCGAGTTGGCTGCCGTGGTGGCAGGATGGGCGAACGAGGCGGACTGGGTATACCCTGGTCTCTCGTGGGGAGGGAGATCGGTGTAGTTCCCCATGGTAATGGGTTCGCTGGCTGGTCTGGTCGCCATTTCTCAGTTCAAGTCCCGCAATGTCTGTCGCAGACATCTGGCAGACGCATTTCGCGCAGTACTCACGTCGCATATTGCTGACCCGGCTGCCTAATCTCATACTGCGGGGTTGCAGCGCCGCTGTCAGCTGCACCTCGAGGTCGCTGAGGCTCGCGCCCGTCACGGCTGCGTGAGCGCGCACCCTCTCGACCGCGCCCAGGCGATTTGGACCGCGAGCGCCTTGACTTGTCGTCTGGCCGCAAAGACATGGCCTTGATCTTTCACTGCTCAATTGATGAGACTAATGTCAATTCTCGTGGTCGAGGTTTACGCGCTGAACAGTTCGGTCCAGTGCACGGCGCCACGAAAATTGCGATGGCTGGAAGCTGCCACACCATTGCCGCTCCTTTCAGCCTCGCTCATGTTTGCATTGGGGGCCAAAACCGCTGCTCAATTCGCCCTTCTCTCTGGCGCCGGAGGTTGGGTAGGCGCCTGCGCACATCGTGGAGCAGCTCCGTGAGTTCTTGTTGTAGCATCACGGTGCAAAAGGTGTCGGTGGTCTTGATGTGCACGTACGTTGGAAGTGGAGAGGGAGGCTTTCCCGACTCCAACGCATCCGTCCGCACTGAATCACAGTCATGATTCTTATCTTGCGTCACAGCGTCAAGCGAGCGCTAGAAACGCCGAAAACCCTCAGTCAGAAACTTATGTTGAGCCGCTCCAGCTCCGTAACGCGCCGATATCAACGTCGCCATCGGCGAAGACAGGAACTGTGGGTCTCAACTCACCGCTTCAGCTACCTGACATGGAAATATCGAGCATTCTACGGACATTACCAGGGAATGCTTGGTACCTTAATGCTTAGCCTATCCGTCTGGTGAAAAGATTTCAGCTCGAGCTGAAGTGGTGTATCGGCAGAGCGCCACGATGCATAGATAAACAAACCATGACAGCAGCTTATAGGCCGTGACCATCAGCACGAGCCGCGCTGTTCTAGTTGTCACTTAAAGTTGAGGTGATACCATTCTCAGATGTTACAATCGTTCTTCGCATTCTACTAGAATCATGGCTGTCGTTGTTCCGCTTCCTGGTAATCTCCAGCCGCAATCTGCACTCCTCCAATTGCCAGCAGAAATCAAACACATCATATTTGGATTGTGTTTCGTTGCGGACACCCCCATAATCGACCCCCGAATCGACGGTTCCAGAACGCGAGAAGACAATGCGGTTCGTACGACACCAGGCGCTGCTCTACTTCAGACATGCCGTAGAACCTACCACGAGATCGACCGCCGTCCACTATTCGCGCAGAACACCTTCCGCTTCTCAAATCTGACAGGGATGCGGGCTTTCCTACATGCGCTTCCTGTGGAATACAGAACGCGCATCCAGGACATCGAAATTGACTTGCGAGAGTTGAACTCGGATCGTCCTCACCTTGCGCGTGAGTGGCTGCAGTACGTTGCGCTAGCAAAGAATGGAGGCTTCAATTCATTGCGCGCTGATGCAACCGGTCTACGGTGCCTGCGAATCAACCTAGAGTCGTGGCCAGTTAGTGAGTACTCTCAATCATAACTTCATGTGAGACATATACTGACGTGGCATTTCAACTTTCAGTTGCCGTAATCCGGAGTGAACTTTGGAAGTTTCTTCGAAGCATGTTATCGGGGCTCGAGGACTTGGACAGAGTTGTCGTGACTGGATCGAGCAGAGGCAAGGCAATGGAACGAAAACTCCCATGGTCACCAGTCCATTTTGTTGGTGGAGATGACGTTGGAACCCACGACTTGCTTACTCGAATGAACTCGTGTGTCACCAAAACCGGCCGCGACAACGCCGTCAAGTGGATGCGACAAAACGGCAAATTACAACTCGAAGTAACCTCCATGCCGGGTCTACACGAAAGCGCTGCCGCACAAGGGATACAAGCTCCAGAGAACGTGAACAGAGCAAAATCCTTGCCACCGAGCGGAGAATGTTCCTTCTTTGCCTGCGAGAATCGCCACTCCTATGGAACAGAACCCGTGGATAAGGATCTCAATCCCAATGCCGCCGGATGATGGGCCTCGCTGGGTCCCAAGGACCATAAATCTCGTTCTTGTATTTCTGGAGACCGATGAGCCACCAACTGCAGACCCCCATGCTCAGCACAGTGAGGATGACCCCTACGATTGCACCTGCCAAGAATGTACTGCGACCCCCACCTGTCAAGGTGACGAAGAGACCACCCCACGCGCCGGTTACTAGAGTGATAGTAAGGGCAAGATGACCCCACGGAGATCGAGCGCGGAGCTGCCGACGGAAGATTGGGAATAGACCGTATATCTCGATGGAGAAGAGGGTCAACGAGAAGACGTGTGTGGTGGATGGCAGGCGTGATGCGAGAACAGCCGACGCCATCATGGCCGAATTGGTGGATATCGACGCTGGTAATCTGTAGTCATACAACTTAGCCGTACGTACATCCAAAAGACTAGTGTCGTTCATACTGTGCGCCTGTGCCTGCGCTGTAGTCGAAAAAGGCAACGTTCATCATGAGGAGCCATGTACTCAGCGCCCATATCGAATCGCTTGTCGTAGAGCGCGTAAGTGACTTGAGAATTGGACTGAGTCCAAGCAAAGCCGCATAAATCAGCAACGCTGATTTGGCAGTCGCCAGGCGCTGTTGAGTTCGTCCTGAAAGTGCCGACGATGGTTTCATTGCAGCTTGGTCTGAGTCTGAAGCGGGTGTCGATGCCACATTGGAGACGGTCTCAAACTCCTGTCCCATCCAATGATCCCATAAGAACCAGGCTAGAACTGTGCATAAAGTAGCCCACCCTACTACTGCGACAGGCGATACTCTGTCGTGAATGATAGCCACAAAACAGCAACAAAAGATGACCACTGTTGCAAGATGCTGCACGATAACCGTGGCATCACCCATCAGCGACCAGAACTCGTAGGGCTGTAATCTTGGATTGCGCTGGAGATGATCAAGAAATGTCGTTTCATCTGTGTAGTTATCGGGAACTGTATACGTCAGACCTGGATCGAGATCCGAGACAGGGGCCTGCGTGAGCACTCACATGGCTGCTTGAACCATAGTAGTTTCTTGTAATTGCCCTTTGCAGGCCGGTTTACGATTCGCGGCCCACCCTTCCTCTTCCTGCTAGTAGCGGCGAGAGATGCGCCCGCTGGATCTAGTAGACGGTTTTGGTACATGTCACACTTGTTCGATTCGTTTGCAGGTATGGTTGATGGTGAGGAGATAGTTCAGGTTAGAGCTAAGTCGGGGGAACGCGTTACTGCACGTGCGGCCAAATGCGGACAGGCGCGATTATGTCCGAAACTATGTCCGAGCTTTCAGGTTATCAACATCTCGAGTTGTATTATTAACGATTAAGTGTTCTCCAAGCGACCATTATCCTCCTAGGCTTAGGCACGGTAGCGCGACCGGCCTTGACCTTAAAATTGTCCTGTTTCAACACTCTCCCAATCTCCATGTAGCTCTCGACCGCGACCCGAATTGGCCCTCTCGCTTCAACTGGCAATTGCTCGATTGCGACCTTGGTCTTCTCATACAAAGAAAACGCGTCCTTAAGAAGACGCTTACGTAGCGTCTCGATCTGTGCGTGGTCCGGTTTCTTCAACACCTCATCGTAACTCAATCCAACTTCAGACAGCCATTCCAAAGGAAGATAAACACGACCTATCTTAGCGTCTACTTGTATATCTCGTGCAATGTTGACGTATTGCAAGGCGACACCCATGCTGTTTCCAGCAGTGACTATGGCACGCTGTTCTTCGGTGGGCAAGGCGCTGGGATACCAGCTGAAGATGAGTTGAATACACATCTGAGCTACAGTGCCCGCTACGCGCTCTGAATACAAGCGCAAATCCTCCGTGGTCTTGATCAAGGGTCCCTTATCGAAAGCAAGATCCATCTCGAAGCCGCGTAGAAGATCCTCCAGTGGTTGATGCGAGAGTTTAACGGCTGGAAGCTGGAGGAGCGCAGATTGAGTAGCAGCAGGAAAGTCCTCGCGAACTTGGTCATGTACTGTAGACTTGGATGCAGAATCGCTATACGTATTGTTTAGGAACTTGCGCAATTTCGCTATCCAGGCCTTGGCTTCATCAGCGGAGGAAGCATTATCCACCAGATCGTCAGCAACGCGGCAGAAGGAGTAGAGCAGCAGCAGGTCTGCCCGTAAAGGTCCGGGGAAGGTTGCGGAGGCCAGGTAGAAACTACGGCTTTTACGCTTGAGACGTTGCACAGCCTCGCTAAGGCCTATTAGGCGGGCATCATCGTACTTGGAGCATGGAGTGAGTAGAGCGCCCATCAGCGTTTTGGGTGATGGAAGCAGGGAGGGCTTCGCAAACATGGCCGGGAACGTGTACAGCACTGCAAGGGCATTGTCAAATGCTAATTGACCAAACACTATGAGGCAGTTGGTGACGAGGAAGAAGAGGGCTTCCTCAACCTCGAGACCGTCCCACAAGTGCACACCATATTTTGTACCTGTGTTGATTACCCATGTTCCTCTGCGCAGGGCTAGGGTGTCGACAATCCAGAGGTAGAGCGTAGGAAGGATGATGGGTATCGCGGTGTTGGTCAGAGGAAGGGCCAGAATGAACTGATAGGCGAGACTCCTAGGTTCGGTTAGTAGGTATCCGGGTTGCAATAGCGATTGGCTTACCAGAGCATCAGCAGGAAGGGACCGGCCCATATCAGAATGAGACCGGTATATGTACCCTTGCTGTCATCCTGGATGCAACGCCATCCCCATGCGATGACACCCAGAAAGAAGATTTGGCCAGTACGTTTCGTGTATGCCCATCGGCTATTGGACGCGCCGCGTTCCGGACTTAGATAGACAGGCTGAAAGGTGGGCCTACTGAGGAGGAGGTACAGGACTGATGTATTGTATGTCTGGACGACAAAGAAGAAGACCTCTTCCAACGGAATGTCAAGCAGCTTTGGACCAATAATGACATGGGCGGGGTAGCTCCAGATGCCGGTGCGGATAAGGTAGGAATCCCATGGTATAGTCGAGACAACGGCAACCTGATATGTTAGCACGAAGTATGTTGACGAGGATGCGCGTACCAACCACTACCAGATAGACGACCTTGTACACGTCGAGTTTAGTAAAGAAAGGGCGGTAGAGCCAGGTGAGCAACACGGCCGGGGGGATCGTGTACTTGAGATGACTACCCGTCACTGTCAGCCATGTTGGAGTAACATAGGAGGCGCGTCACGTACACGAGCGCGTAGTCGAAGCCCATGATGGCACCGTGGGAGCAGAAGGGAGTAGCCGGAGAGATGTGCAATCGGCGTCACTCATGGAGCCAATGCGGCAGGGGGAGAGACTAGGCCGCGGCGGGCGTCAGGCACAAGATAATGCGCAAGAGAGGCCATGATGGAGAATATTTGCAACATGGTTGAGACGGCGCTGCTCGGGCGGCTGTGAAGGATGCGCGCTGCCCCAAGCGGCCTAGCGGTAATGCAAGCCTCGACATGACATCACGATTGCCCGGCCGCCATCACGACCAAGGCCGTGGAGCACATGTCAACCGGATACCCGTGGAAGCGGGCAGCCCTGCCATTGTTGCATCATATCATGTCACCAGCTCCTGATCCTGCCTCCGTGCCCTGCCTCCCACCGGCCGCGGCGACACGTGAAGACTGCACGCGCTGTACTAATGAATTGCCTGCGCCGTTGTCCTGAACCAAACCGTTCTCCAATGCCGCCAAGCTAATAATACCGCCGTAATGTCCACGCCTGGACCGAACAGCAGCAAGTCGACGCCTAAACACCCGTACGCCTTCCTGCTCATTGCCCTACACGGCCTGACTAACCCGCTCCAGATATCTCTCTGGCAACTTCGCGCCTGTCTCTACAAGATGCCCCCCTACGCCTGTCTCATGGACCGGCCGCATTCCACCAGAGCTGCTGGGCGGCATGTACGTCCGCAACGGCGGCAATCCCGTGACCAATTCCGACTTGGGACGTGAAGCGCATTGGTTCGACGGCGACGGCATGCTCGCTGGAGTCTGGTTCAGTCGCTCTGTCGCCGACCCTACCAAGCCCGCTGTCAAGTTCGTCAACCAATTCATCACCACCGACGTGTACCGCACCGCCGTTGAGAATCCGACTCTACGCACGCCTATCCTACCTAGCATCGCGACCCTTGTCAACCCTGCTTCCAGCTTGTTGCTTATCCTCTGGCGCATCCTACGTACTGTACTGGTCGTATTCTGGACCCATCTCTCAGGCTCTGCACGCGCTATCAAGCGCATCAGCGTCGCCAACACCAGCATACTATACCACGATGGACGTGCGTTGGCGACATGTGAGAGCGGGCCGCCAATGCGCATTGCGTTGCCAAGCCTGGAAACCGTCGGCTGGTTCGACGGTAACCGTGCCGAAGGCGAGGCTACACCCGGCGACAAGGACAAGAACGACGAGAAACAGCCTGAAGCTCTTGGTGGAACTGGTGTACTGAGCTGGATGAAAGAGTGGACAACGGGTCATCCCAAGGTCGACAAGGTCACGAACGAGATGGTTCTGTTCCATTGCAACTTCGTCGCGCCCTACGTTCACTATTCCCTACTTCCATCAGAAGGCTCTGTTGCAAAGAGATCAGGTTCAGAGGGAAGCAGATTAATCAACGCGCCAGTGCCCGGGTGCTCTGGCGGGAAGCTTATGCACGATTTCGGTGTGTCACGACACAATACCGTCATACTGGACCTGCCGCTCTCCCTTACCCCATTAAACTTGGCGATGAACAAGCCCATTGTCTTTTACCAACCTGAGAAACCAGCCAGGTTCGGTGTCTTTCCCCGGCGACACCCGGAATTAGTACGTTGGTTCGAGACAAGCGGCTGCTGTATTCTTCACACGGCCAACACTTGGGATGAGTACAACAGCACCGGCGATATATCAGCCGTTAACATGCTAGCTTGTCGGTTGACTACCGCATCTCTTGTGTTCAGTGCCGGGAACATTGAACCTCCTCCAAACCCGAGCAAGAAGCAAGCGAGCAGGCCCATGTCTTTCTTCGCCAAATACGATGACGAAGAGCATGTACAAGATCCCGAGAAGTCTCATTCAGATGAAACGTCGCCTTTGCTGGGAGTCCACAACGAACCAGAGTCATCAAAGGCGCCCCACAACGTTCCCATCTCACATGACGACGAGGAACAATGTCGGCTGTATTACTACCGGTTCTCACTCGCGCTCGGCTCATCGAACACTATCACTCATGAGTTCGCCTTGGCAGCGATCCCTTTCGAATTCCCCACCATCTCGCCCTTCACCGAAATGTCACGCGCACGGTACATTTACGGATGTAGCACGTCCGACGAATCGTTTGGCGCGGCATTAGGCAAGGCGACAAAGATCGACATACTCGTAAGAGTTGATGTACAGACGCTGCTCAATCGTGCCCAGAAATCACCCCCACAGGCCGTGGACGGCTGCATCGACACCCGCACAATAGACGAGATACTTGCTTCAGACGACCGCGATGATCCTATCAAAGCATTCCACCTTCCACCAAATCACTTTGGACAGGAAGCGAGATTTGTACCTCGTTCAGCGAACAGTGCAAGTGGTGATGAAGCGGGATTCGTCGAAGAAGACGGGTACCTGCTGTTCTATGTCTTCAACGAGGACCAGTTGGATGAAGACGGGGAATGCAAGCCAGATGCAGAGAGCGAGTTATGGGTATTGGATGCACGGGACATGCAGACTGTCGTTTGCAAGATCCAACTCGGCGCTAGAATACCCTACGGCTTGCACGGGAACTGGTTTACAGAAGAGGACATTGCTCAACAGCGAGAAATCGCAACTGTGCGATCCGTGTCAGAAACACAGTCTGAGGCAGGATCGAGCAATTTGCGAAAAGCTCTAGTTAGTTGTCTGGGCTAGTGACGTCTCTGTGTTCGGACCACTTGTCTAACGGATCGAATGGTTTCGAGACGTTAGCGCTACCACCTTCTTACGTAGTCGACAAACTCTTTCCACGAGTTTTAATATCGAAAGCTTCACACTACCGCTCTTCACATGTGCCGAGTGTTGTCCTGGTGATGTGCGACGTTCCCCTAGTCAATGCGGCATCTAGATTTGCCCCGCTCTGAACAGAAAGCTTCGTTGCGCCGATCCCTGCCGTAGCTGTTGATCTACTCGACTCCCGCACTGACGTAAAACAACCGATAGGAACGATGCCTGCCTGGGCAGTACGTGACAAGAACATCACACCACCACAGTATTGCCGTTACGGTAATGATACGCTGCCATGCATTTCTTCCCCTCACGATGCGCATTCTCCCCCCATGATGCGCACACAGAAGGCCCTTTTCACGATCTCACCACGAAACTCTGTGTCAATATCATCAAACACTCTCAACACACAATAAAACCCAAACTAGCCTCAAGCCAACTCAACGCCAGCGTTAAGTTGACTCGGCTGGCGTTATGCAACAGATGCAAGTCGATGTCGAAGTAAGCTCAATAGATCAACGTCATAAAGCTTAATCCTAGTGGCGCTCGCTCAGGTGGTGAGACGGAAAGGCCGGGCGCTATGCTCAGAACCTCTAGCGTCGATGATGATGATCCTAGTGTGACATGGCTATTGCACCGAGCAACCGTCACTGAAATCAGCCATTGGGAAAAGAGAAACTGGAAATGCTAAACGCAGCGCCTGCTTCTGACTGGCCGTCACTCACCGTCACCGGCTCTTGAGTAACAAGTCTCGGCCTAGTCTGGGCCCCTGGTCGATTGAGGGTTTTGACATGCTGCATGATCAAGCTCCAATCCGCTCAAGGTATGTCGTCATGATGGCATCTCTAGATCTCATGGGCGGTAAGTTCAAGATATAAGCAGTACCTGCTACCTCTTGTCCTCGTTAAGCAGTCCTCTTGGTACATTCCAGCCCATAGTATTCATTTGGCATTTTACCACTGTTTTCGCAATGGATGTCTTTCGCAGGAACAATGCGCTGAACCTCAATGACAACACCGTTAATGGTGCGACGGCAGACATTGCCATTACCACACATGGATCCGACTTCTACTTCGCTATCTGCGCCGCCATGGGTCTTTCTGGATTCATCTTCATCGGTCTTGGATACCGCAAGGCGCGTCGCGACCGCCTTTTCCACTACATCACTGCTTCCGTTGTCTTCGTCGCATGCATCGCCTACTGTAAGTCAAGCGCTTCCCATTACAACATGAGGGATGTGTACTGATCTTCACTTTCACAGTCACCATGGGAGCCAACTTGGGCTTCACACCCATCGCAGTCGAATTCCCCCGTAGCGACCCCAAGGTAGCAGGAACCTACCGTTCGATCTACTACGTCCGATACATCGACTGGTTCATCACTACGCCTCTTCTGCTCATCGACTTGCTCCTCACTGCCGGCATGCCATGGCCTACCATCATGTGGGTTGTTGTCGTTGATGAGATCATGGTCATCACTGGTCTTATCGGTGCTCTCGTAGAGAGCCGTTACAAGTGGGCTTACTTTGTTTTCGGCTGCGTCGCTCTCTTCTACATCGTCTACCAGCTCGCATGGGAATCGCGCATCCACGCCAAGTCATTCGGCCGTGATGTCGAGAGGACCTTCATGATGTGCGGAAGTTTGACTACTTTGCTTTGGATCTTGTACCCAGTCGCATGGGGAGTGTGCGAGGGCGCGTAAGTGTTACCCAACAACGATCATAATTGCGCAGTCACTTACATCAGAACAGCAACCTCATCGCTCCTGACAGCGAAGCGGTCTTCTACGGCGTCCTTGACTTCTTAGCCAAGCCCTGCTTCGGTGCCCTCCTTCTGTGGGGCCACAGGAGCATCGACCCTGCCCGTTTGGGTCTTGCCATCCACGACTACGGTGATGCCGACGCTGTCGTTCAGGAGAAGAAGATCAAGCCTGAGACTGCTGCCTCAGGCGCAACTGCCACCCACCCCGATGGCTACAACGGCACTGCTCCTCACGTGGACAACACTGTCTAAACAAATCTCTGGGTTTAAGGTGAACAGTGGCCTCTGACAAGACGGAGAGATCAGAGGTATGGTGGTAGTTGTAATGTTAGGATGACCTTCGCGTTTGCAATCCCACCGGGGATGAGAACGTGGAACTGTAACGCGGATCGAATCATGAGTACTTTCAAGATACCCTCTCTGGTAGATACTTAATTAATTTTTTACCTTGTCAAACGTGTTTCAGAATGATTCTGCATACATTCATTTGACATGTTCACAGCTAGTGCACGACCATCAGATACTCTAACCACCCAACCCTCCGCTGATGTATACCACCAACACAGGCAGACTCGATTGTACAACCCATGTTTCTGCGCCTAGAGTATGCATTCTGCACACACCATTCGTGCCGTATTCGTTCACTATATAACTTCCGCAACCCTTTCTCCAAGTCCCGCGCATACGTTGATGAACAGGCTAGCCAACGTTTGTTGCTCATATCTATTCACCCACAATCGTGACCCCTCAGGATTCCATGACAAAAAGTGGTCATTAAATCAAGTACAATGTATACCAACAACATTAATATACTAAAAGCCCTTATCTACGCCCGTATCTACAGTAAACTACATACGACAGCACTACCAATCGCCCAGCAACCCGTTACCAGCCTTCTGGTACACCAAAACACCCGGTACCGTCACAAACACGAGGGCAATGCTCAACAATATCCAGACAAGCCAGCTAAGATACGGTCCGTTCTGAGTGCGATCCAGGGGACCAGGAGCTGGCTTGGGCTCTTCCTTGGCGTCCAGCGGGCGCCACGGGATGCGGCTCATTTCATTGCGGTCATGGAGGATCTGTTCGGTGACCAACTTGGCACCAGCAAGTACAATGGGAACACCCGTGCCAGGGTGTGTACTCGCACCGACAAAGTACAGATCCTCGATGCTGCGATGCTTTGTCTTGGGCCTGAAGCTGAGCACGTTGAAGAAGGAGTGGCTGAGACCGAGAATGGCGCCACGGTCGAGGTTGAATGTAGATTTCCATGTCACGGGCGTGTTGATGGTCTCTTCGATGATGTGGGGACCGAGCGAGATCTTGAGTCGCTTTTCCATGGTTCTGATGATGATTTCACGTGCTGATGCTACCATCGAGTCCCAGTCTTGGGTCAGGCCTTTCGTGTGCCCCGAGCCCTTGTGTTGGTCGTCGGATGAGCCTTCCAAGTGACCGACTGGGACCAGGATAACGATGGAATCACAGCCCTCTGGCGCGGCGGAAGGATCGACGCGGGAGGGGACGTTGACGTAAAAGCTGGGTTGATCTGGAATCAGGTGCTTCTTGAAGATACTGTCAAAGCTCTCTTTGTAGTCTTCCGCGAGGAAGATGTTGTGAGCGCTTAGTTCGGGGAATTGTCGGTCTAGCGCCCAGTAGAAGGATATGCTTGAGCAAGACGCTTGACGTTTCAGGAGAGCTCGTCCAAAAGAGGTGGATGGGAGGAGGTTGTTGTATGCGTAGGCCAGATCAGCGTTGCAGACAACCACATCAGCGGTCAATGGCTCCTGGCTTTCATCTTCGAAAACAACGCCGGTCGCACGTTTCCCGTCGTCCGATATCTGTATGTTGCGGATGGGGCTGTTGAACTTGAATTCGACACCCAAACGCTCACCTACGTTGACAAGAGACTCGACCACCTGATCACGTTAGTAAAGAAGGTTTTCTGCAATGGAGTACACTAACTTTATGGAAACCGCCAATGGGATACCAGATGCCCTCGGCCAGCTCCGTGTATTGCAGCAGACTATACGTTCCCGGAGCGTCAAATGGGCTCATGCCCATATACATGCTTGCAAACGTGAAGACTCTCCGTAACCTCTCCGTCCAGAAGTACTTGCTCGCCCGGTAATAGATGCTCTCAAAAGGATGCAGCTCGAAGAGATGCAATAAGAAGTCGAAACGGACCATACTCAGCAACGAGTAGAAGTTCTTCTTCAGCACATGGATGATGGACACCTCATAATGTCGATGTGATTCTTGCAGGAAAGCAAGGTACCGCTCGAATCCGTCCTTGCCTTCAAAACGTTCGACTTCAGCCTTCATGATGGAGATGTCGGTGGAGAGTTTGAAGGTAGTATCATCGTGGAAATGAACATTGTAGTTCGGTTCGCATTTGACCAGCTTGACGCCCTCTGCATCGAGCGAGGTGCCCAGATCCTCGAATGTTTCATGGAAGAATCGAGGTAGGAGTAGTAAGCTCGGACCTTGGTCGAACCTCTGCGTAACGATTAGCGTTGAGTCGTGTGATGCTGCCGCACGTTCATCGACTTACATATCCGTGACGATGTATCAAACTGCATCTTCCGCCAGAGAAATCGTTCTTCTCGACTACAGTAACTTTGTAGCCTGCCGCTGCGAGCCGCGCTGCGGTAGCGACACCTCCGGCACCAGCACCGACGACGATCGCGCTAGGGCGCGTGCCCTTGTTCTCGATATGCTCCCCCATTTAGTAGACGGATTGATGTGTGAGAGGCGGCACAATTGCGATGAGCGTTGTGAAGAAGACGCGTTGTAGCGCGCCACGCTCGGGTATTCCTGGATCAGTCCACACCAAGACTGCCAGTCATGACGTCTACAAAAATCAATAGGGCTAGTTTGCACCTTGGGCAATTGTTGAGTTGCATCGGCACATTTGCGCTGCACGTGAAAGCTTCTGGCTGTCTGAATCCTAATCGGCATCTTTCCTTGGATGGTTTTCCGCCCCCTGCATGCGATGTTGAAGCCGATAAGCCACGCGAATGTAGCTCACATGTGCTATCCGCGCGCAGCTTAGAGCGGAAGCCCGCGGACAAGAGATTGTCCAAAGACTTGGCGCATGCGCAAACACCTGTCACTTGATTATTCAGAGATGTTTGATTATTAGTGTTGTTCATCTCACGATGATCGTCGACGCTTCAACAAGTGCCCGCGATCGTGGGGTCCACTAGCGACGCTCGGCATTCACCTTGCAGCATGCATAGAAGATGATTGAACATTACAACATTATATTATTAGCGACTCAGAACGTCGTCTTAATTAAATATGGTGAGAACATCGGTAGAGTTGGAGTACTCGGGCTGACATTCCTCAGTAAATCCGCCAAACATGTCGGCCCTCTCTTGAACGAAATCCTGGAACGCGCTCTTGGAGCAACTCTCTCCAGGGCCATCAGCACAAGCCAGCGGCTGCGGGTCTTTGTTGACGAGGACGCGGATGTACTCGTCAGCGGCGAATCCGTAACTGTCGCATGACATCTTCTCAACAGCGATGTTGGACAAGAAAGGTAGGATCCTCGACGATCTCCACGCTCTCGCATGGTTGGGCCTGTCGAGGGGCATTGTGATGTTTGGGTTGTTCACTCCGGTATTAGCGGAGTTGTTGAACAGACCCATAGCAACTACGACAGTAGGAGGCAACTCGCGGTGAGTGAAGGAGACGTAGAGATCCTGGTCGGCCTCGTCCGCGAGCAACTCGACGGCAGTAGCGTTAAGCCAGGGAAGACCAAGAGCACCCGACAGCTCGGGGCTTCCATAGCCGGTGTTGTAGAAGTACATGATATCGTTCATGTACTCGAAGGAGAGCCACTCGTCCTGGGAGAAGAGGTCGAGCGAACAGAAGGGGGAAGAGCCACGAATGACTGTCTCGTATCCGCACAGCTGCTGCATGCCTACGATGTCCGACTTGGTGAAGTTGAAGGCAGGGGCGTACGCATTCAGACGTTCGACGATGGGCTTGGTGTACGTTTCTTGATATTCCTGGAGGAATATTGTTAGTTGGAGTCATGTTGTCTTGGTGAGTTTACGTACAGATGACTGCTCGCTACCGTATGAGGAGCTGTACTTGGGGCAACCCTTGTATGGCGTCAGGGAGTCTGCACCCCGAGCAGCATCCTCGCGGACGGAAACACGCTCGGTGTTGTTGCTCTCAGCCACGAGGCCGTCGATGAAGGAAGATGCACTGAGCTCGGTCCTCTCGGCCGTTGATGTCCATACGCGCTCAGGGTCCTTGAACGTAGGGTAACGCAGACGCACATCGACACCCAGCTTGTACGATTGCAGCCTTCCGACCGAGGTGAGATCCTCTAGCTCCTCGTCGCTAATGGGTGTCTGCCATTTTGACAGGAACGACAGGGGTCCCGCGCTTCGCCAGTCGGCCGTCGTGTTCTTCAGCTTGTCGGTGAAGGGCTCAATGTACTCCTCATAGTCAAAGTCGTTGGCGTAGATGGCGGCATGGCGAATGAGGTACGACGCGCGCGTTACGTTGCAGCCCTGTGGCGGCTTGGGGTCGAGGCGCGGGTCCTCGAAGTACGGGGCAATGCCAGCAAGATGCTGCAGAGGGTCGAACGAGTAGGCGGCCTGTGCCGTGGCTGCATTAGCAATTGCGAGGATGGAAACGAGGGCCGACTGCATGGTGGGCAATGTAGGCTAGAGCGCGAGCCGTACCTAGGAAAGTTGGGATACATGATCGCCTTTAAGCTCTGCCCCAGGCTGCGCAAACGATGTCATTGTCCGGATCCAGCGTGCCGTGCGCTGTGGAGAAAGCCGAAAGCAGGACGTGCTCGACCACAACCGACGGGATATGACGATGTTTGCCAGGTACCTGCCAAGGCAGCGGTTGCGCATTGACCTCACCAGCCACGTCAGCCACCATCTCACATCTTCCGGCTCCTCAATGGGTGGATACGGTGAAAATAAAAACAATCACATAACCAGGGGTATTGGGTAGCCAACTCGCTTCTAGCATTACACAGTCTCGTCACACCACGTTCGCCCGTCTCTGCAGCGTCTGCACTTTGAGTTCCAACACTTGGCAGTCATTCTCCTTGCGGTGTAGATCCCTCATGAGTCCCTCCTTCTCCGACCGGAGAGCCTGCAGCTTGCCTCCGATGCTCTCGCGGTAGGTAGCATGTTCCTCAAGCAGGGCTTCAATTCGGTACCAGTCCATCTGCCCGCTTCCTCCCGAAGCACCCTGGGACCGTAGCCGCTCGAGCTCAGCGTCTTTGGCCCTGATCTTGGATTCAAGATCAGCAACGGTCCCTTTCCACGCTTGGTGAGCGGTCGATCGGTTTAGATCGTCGATGCTGCCACCTCGCGGCGCCCCTAACTGCGCGACAAGATCAGAGTTTCGCTTTTCTAATTCGAGAGCTCGCTGCTCGAGAGCTGCCACCTTGGCCGCAGTAAAGAGGTCGGTTGTGTCGCGCCTTTCGAGAAAGCTACCTGGACGTCCCCGGCTTGGACTGCTACGTCCAGTCTGTGCATGCAATCGCTCCACCTCTCTTGTCTTTTCAGCAAGCTTGCTCCGTACAATCTGCACGTTGATGAGATCTTCGTCGCGCAGCTTTTTGGTCGCGTCCAGTTCGCGTCGACAGCTAGCTAGCAGTCCCTGTATCGACATGTTAGTTAATGTCTTGCGCTGATCCATCGTCTTCACACTTACACGAATCTTAATGTTGTTCTCTACATCTTCGTCTCGAAGGGCCCAGATGGCGTCGTGTCGCTTCCACCATGTCTTCTTCTCGTCTTCCAACGCTTTCAGACGCGCCATCGTCTGCTCGTACTCTTCAGGCTTGATTGATATGGCAGGATTCGATTGTTCGATGTAGACAAGCTTGGACATTAGGGCGGCAAGTTGCGACTCCAGAGGACCAGGGACATGCGGTGCGGGTGCTGGAGATACCGGCTCCTGGCCTGTGAGGCTCATCTTCGTGGCTGAAGGCGCCAACGACTTCTTCGATGGATAGGGGACGTCCTCCTCGTTGCCATCCAGAGTGGAAGATCGCGATGTTGCATCGTCGTCCACTGGTCGCTCAACAAAGGTTCGCTGGTCTTGATATTGCGGTTTGTTCGCGCTGACTACGTGTACGACATCGTTTGCCTTCTTCTGAGAGAACAAAGGTGCTGTGGGGTTAGGTTGTTGCTGTTGTCGTTGCATTTGCGCCATGGCTGACATGGAGGTGTCTTGTGGACGACGGGAGTATTGCTGTGGCTGTGGCTGTTCGTCCTCTGAACCCAGGTCAGAGTAGTTGTCTGACTCGTAATTCGTCGGTCGTCTCTGCATTTGAGGTGAACTCATCGAAACGGGGCGACTTCCTGATTGAAAGGACGCGATAGAATGGACAGATGGTGTGCGTTTCGCTCCTGGAGTTACGCGGTTTGGTGCCCACATCTTATGCTGGGGTTGAAGTCGGAAGGGTACTGTTGCGCAATGTCTGCGTGTATGGCGGGCCGGGTCGATCGAACGAAGAAGCTGAGCTCAGCTAGATCTCTTAGTAATTAAGATGAATTTAATATCTGTCGACAAGTTGAGGTTCAACTCAGCCTCTATGTAGTCCATCGTGGATTCGCGGTCATGCTATGAAACGGTGCTGAGACGCAGGGGTCAGGACACAGAGATCTGCGACACAGACAGATGAACGACAGCCGTATCAGCCTGAGATTGCTTTTGAGCCTTGGACTGCACAATTCCGACTTTGTACAACACCTCGAGTCCGTACTTTTGAAAAGGCTCCACTTGGAGCCCCATCTCACCATGGTGTAACACCAAATTCTACGCGAGTCATGGTGCCGTTTGCCGATAGTTCAGACTAGAGCAGACCCGGCGCTACGGATGCTGGTCTGAAACACTTCAAGCCGCGATCTTGTATCAACACTACCGGTTATCACATCCTGTCTAACACGTATTCGTGCCCTCGTGCAATAGATGCCTCAGCCAAGCTGTAGGCATACATTTCTGATGAGATTACGGACTTGTGCGTGCACCATGTCAAGCAGGGCATCTTCGATATTGAATGGAGCTGTGCTACACCGGGGTGCCGACGAATATATACTGTCTTATCACATATCGTAGCGGTCCGTTTCGTGGTGAGCAGGCCTGTATATGAAGTAGTCAAAAGACGCCACCTTCTCTGTGCCGTTGCAATCAGATGCCGCCATACCCACAAATGCGCCCGTGAAGCTTCCATGTCTGTGTTTGCAAAGTCAGCATGCATCATCATGTAATTGATAGAGGAAAGTAACTCACGCTTGATGACCACCACACTCATCACTCAGGATCGAAGCATCATAGACCGGTCCAATCTCTGTCAGATCCTTTTGTCCCTCTAGCGCATAGCTAAACTGGAGTTTTCTACCCCGAATGCTCAGCGCCAATCGTACCTTGCCCTCTTGTGGGAGTGACACCGGCTCCGCGAGCGGGAGTTTCAAATTGCCGTCCGGCCACGAAGCTTCCGAGCTCAAGATGAGCAGTTCACGCTTGCCGTCAGAGTCGGCCGTGACGGTCAAGTAAAAGAAATTGAAGCGGCAGTAGTAGGCAGTCAGGCCTGCGAATGTGCGTTCGTCGTCTGGGCTGAAGCTAACGACTGTCTCGGCATCATAGGAGAAATGCGTTTGACGGCGTGCAACAAGGGCTTGTTCGAACCAGGATCCAACGGCCTCGCGCCCAATGAGTTGCAGAGCACCATCTTTGACATCGAAGATGCGCTCTGGCTCTGGTGTGCGGAGCCACTGGAAGTCTTTGTGGAGACCATCTTTGCTGTTGAATTCGTAGCGCTGCTCAGCCCAGTATGCGGTATCGTCGCGCGCTGCCGGCAGTTCGACATGAAGAGATGGAACGGGCCCGTTCTTGACATATAGCCAATCATCCTTGTCCCAGTAAGCCTCTTGAATAGCGCACTCACGCCCAAGAACACAGCGACGGAATTGTGTTGTAGGGCGGCCAGCCAGATGGACAATGTACGTCTTGCCGTCCGGAGTGTCGACTATATCTCCATGACCCGCCCTTTGCAGCGAAGCTAGCGGTGCGTCTTTGGAAGTGATGATGTGCTTTTGAGGATGCAGTTCGTATGGGCCCCAGATATCGCGGGATCGTGCCAAAGTGCAGGCGTGTTCATATGCTGTGCCGCCCTCAGCAGTCAACAAGTAGTACCACCCGTTCCGCTTGTACAGATGCGGGCCTTCTACCAGAGCTAAGTCGCTACCGGGGAAGATAGTCTTCCATGGGCCAACAAGTTTCTTCGTTTTAGGATCCCATTCCTGCATTCTGATTCCCTACAAGTAAATCCATGAGCTCGGTATCTGCTGCAACGACTTGTCGCCGGAAGGCATTCACTTACAACGAAGAACTGCTTACGTCTTCGGTGGTCTTGCAGCATATTAATGAAGTACTTCTTGCCATCGTCATCATGGTACAGTGAAGGATCGAATCCTGAGTGGTTGATGTAAATGGGGTCAGACCACGGACCCTCAATGCGATCAGCAGTGACGATGTAGTTGGGCGTGTCTTTGAAGGAGCCATCTTTGCGTTTGACGTCTGTGTACACCAGCCAGAATTTGCTGCCGTCATGTGTGAGGCAAGGTGCCCATACACCTAAAGTCTGTTACGAAATGCGCGAATATAATCAATTTTGATCGAATACGTACCGCAACTATCGGGGTCACCGCGCATGTCCAATTGACTCTTCCTGCTCAGTGGGCGTGTCACGAGCTCCCAATTGGCAAGATCCGTGGAGTGGTGTATCTGCACTCCCGGAAACCACTCAAAAGTGGATGTTGCGATGTAGTACTAATTGACACAATTCCAAGGTTAGTCTGTGCCATGTCCTACTTCTAAGGTCCGAGGTTCAACAATCCCCAGATCACATCGAAAAATCCTAACGGTGGCTTTCCTGGTAGTCCCGCAGTCGAAATCGGGGAGTTGTAGGAACTGTAATACTCACTATGGTACTCTGGTTAGCTCATTCTCTCAAGTTGAACACAACAATATCTTACCGTCATTTCCAACACGCAGGACCGATGGGTCCGCGTTGAAACCTGGAAGGATGGGATTACGAACTAGCGGCATGATGGTGGGTTAGACGTTATGTGTATCGTTTGCGATACCCTCGCACGACAGCCCAGCTATATACGGTGCTTCTCATCGAAGATGTCGGCGATTGCCCGCGATGAATTAGCCGGCTGCGAACCGCCTCTTTTGCCGGCGCCTACTTGGCCAACAGCTGACGATACAGTGTTCTCAACCCCGCGCCTGGCCCGACATGCAACATCACGCCGAAGGAAGCGAAAACTGGAGCGGATAGACGCGCACCTCCGATTATGATGACGCAAGGCACTGTCATGTAGGATGTAACGAAACGCATAGATAAAAATTTGAAAGCCAATGATGTCAATTGTCAATGTGTAAAGTCAAGGCCTGATGGTACACATGTGTTACTCCAGTACGAGGACGATTGTGGCATGCTTGTCGCATGGCTGGCCCGCGGCGTGATAGCAGAGACCAGACGGCCAGCCAACATCGCTGGCAAGCGCGCACGTGGGCTTGGATGGGTGCTACGAACTGCAGTCGTGGGTGAAGTGGTCACGGCGTTGGCGACCCAAGGGTCCATCGGGCCTTGAAACGAGGAGGTACAAGACGCCTACAACACGACCATGCGAGAAGCATCTGCAGAAGACGCGCCTGGCACATGGGAACTCGACGAGCAAGATCTTGAAATCATGTCGAGAGCGAACGAAGAGGAACTACATGGGGCCATCGTTGCCGTTACTCAGAACGGCTCCCTTGGACTGCAGCCACATACACAGGAGAAGCGGGTAAAAAGACGCTGGTGTTACGTTGTCCGGCGACATGTCGACACTGAGGTCGAGTAGGACTCCCTCATGCAAGAACATGGGTACTGCGTTGGCGTCGACATTCAAAACCCGCCATTCTGTGAAAACACCATTGATCAATCGAGCGGTGCCGACACGCAGTTTGACGACGAATGCATCGAGGCTTCCGAAGATGCCTAAGCGCTATTCGGCTCGGACCGGCACGTTGCTAATCCCGCCGACGACATCAATACCCCTTACGACATTGTGTTGGTTTGTGGCAGAACCAGCGGCAGATCTAGTTCGTGGGCGTACGATGACTCGGCGACCGAGGCCAAGAACGCTGCTGACGCTTTGTATACTCTCTGGGAACGAACTTTTAACCGTCTTGCGCTGCCCCACGACCGCACCGAAGGCCCGGACGGCGTTCATGAGCTAGAAGCACCCACGCCGATCTGGATGCCATACCTCATAGGGTACTCATCTTCTCGAAGCACGGTTTTTGGACTGCTTGAGAAAAACGCAGAATATCGCGAAAGCGTTCAGAACGTAATTGAACACTATCATTCAATGCTGGAAGACCGCCGTGTCAACGTGCTGATCATCTTCCCCGGCGTAGATGGCCTTACAACCGCGAACGAATCATGGAAAGAGTTAGCGGACCATTGTCCATTCGCGCGTTTCAGCCTCACCAGTATCAATGAGGATGTCTTTGCGTCGAAATACCCCTCAGTCTACACATCCAGAGCGGACTTTGCGTATCCACACCTGAACACGGAAGACCTTCAATCTGAATGGGCTGCTCGACAAACGAGCGCGGACCCGACATATCGACTTCTTCTGGGGCCCAAAGAACAAAGGTTCCTGTGGTGGTTGAGCGTCCTGCAGGAGTGGAAGTTTTTGTCTACTGAGCGTGGCGGAAGAACAGGCCTCAAGGCTTCAAGTATCGTTAAGGTCTTGACTGTTTCAAGAGCGTCACTCCTCGAGACTATCATCGCAAAGACACTCCCAACAAATGCTTGTGAAGCCTGTGGCCGAGACACGTCAGATACATGGCACCGAGGGAGCGAGCGGCATACCGTACGATGCAACAGGTGCAAAGGAGCGGCTTCTGAAAACTTCGCGTAGTGGCTCGACGAGAATCAGCAACACATCTCATGCCAGGACATGGTGTTTATCGGATACCTTCCCGAGATAGAATCCCAAACGAAACGCAAGAGGGCCATGAGACCACCAATGACGTCAATGAGTACTATATAGGAACCATGAGCTAGATTACTTGCAATGATCTTAGCAAATCCAAACAGGGAGGTGCTCCACGCATCCCAGTTTATGAATTATCCAGTATCCACATGCGGGTCACTTGACATACTGTCTAGCGAGCACCGAGTATCTCTAACCCGTGCGGTATATACGGGAATCGGGGGTTGTTATCCCGACATGAGCGCTAATCCTCACAACGCCGCGCCCACACTTCCCACATGGCAAAGGCTTCACGACTCGTATAGCCCTTCTAGTCTTGGTCCTCTGACACACCTTCGTTACCCACTTCCGGTCTTTCTGAGTCTTGGTTATTGGTAGAATCGTTACTTGGTGCCTCATCCACGTTCGACGAAGCGACGACACCCGCGGGAGGGACGAAAGTATCGCCTTCATCCGTGTCTAATTGCATCAGGAAAGTCTCCCAAATCTCGATGAGCTAGTACGCCAGTCAGTAAGCCGGAATATCAGACGTGGTAGGTGAACTTACTTCCTTCTGTGCTTCTACAGCACTCTCTAAGAAGGTCTCCACGCCTGACTTGAAGTCTTCGACCTTTTCTCTCTCAAAGCGCTCTAGCTCACTACGCATCAGACGACCCATATCGTCGAAAAGCAGCCTTGCTTGGTGAACCTTGCGTTCGGCATCCGCAACGTCGGCGCTGAGCTGGTTCAGACGGTCTTGCTGTGATCTGCCCTGCCTCAAGAGTTTGTCCTGATTGGTTTTCCGCTTCTGTAGCTCCTGCTCGGCAGAATGCCAGGAATGGTAGGCCTTCTGTCGCTGCTGGAACGCGGTCTTTACAGAACCTATCAAACGAATGTACTCGTCTATTACGATGCCCATGGTGAGGATGTCTTGTTGGGCTTGGCGCTCGTAAAGCTCTCGAATGCGAATCTGGATATCGGATAGGCTATCAAGCGGACCAGACAGAGATGGCGATAACTCGACAGCAGACAAAGAATGCAGAGAAGCCGAGAAGTCGCCACACGCCTCAGCTAGACCTTTCTGCTGTGTGACTACAGAGTCAGTAGCCTTGAGAAGAGCTTTGAGCTGTGCTTCTAGAGCATCGAGGTAGATTCTGCGGTCGTGGAACCACTATGGTACCGTTAGTATAGTGACTAATCTTGAGAAACGTTGTACGTACGTCGTCGTGTTCAACGAATTTACCACTGCTGCCAGAGAGCATAGAGCCGAACATGCCCTTGCTTTCGCTTATGCCGGGATCTTTGCGCTCCTTGTTCTTGATGTCCATGTTGAAGGCTTCACTTTCGAGGAACAGCTTCAAGTCACTGTCGTGTTGCAATACTGGATGCGCAGCCGCCTTGTTAAGCATACGCTCCAGAGCGGAGCGTCGCGACTCAACAAAATCGGCTTCGAAGCGCCCAACGGCCTGTTTCTCCGGTGGTGGAGGGATAATGACTCCGGGGTTGTTGTTGTGCAGTTGTGTGTATAGCCAGAGGAAGTCACGGTAGCGGCGCGAGACGGTAAATTCGGGGTTGCGGTAGCCCTTGGACGTCGTCTTGGTAGTAACAGAGTATTCTGTGTGCGAGCTCGTGAGGTCACCGACTTTGTGAGGGTCGCCGACCGAAATGGCAAAGGACGGCTTCGCGGCCTGCTCGACGCTGACGCTTGGCTGTGTCTGGCGCTGGGGTGTGGCATTCGAAGGAGCCTGTACTGGAGGCGGTACTCTGGCTCCTTGGGAAGAGCGTAGCTGCGCGTCGTCGTCATCAAGGTCGACCGAATCCATCATGCCGCGCAGCGAAGGCGTGGAGGCGTCGGGGGCGGCCCGAGTGGTGCGCGACGCAGCAGCTTCCTTCTGAGGCGGCGCTGGAGGAGCAACCTCAGGGCCTGTCGACGGCGAGGGAGCACCCAGAGGGCCCAGCGGGTCATCAACAGCCTCAAGCTTGGTGGATTGCAGGCCATACTGTCGCCTTCTGGGGCCGCGTCCTGCAGGCGAGCGCGGGGCGGCGGAGGCTGTAGGGGCAGCATCGGTCGCTGGCTTGGACGAGGTCGTGGAGGATTCGGGGTCCAGGCTGTCGTTCTGCTCTACTTTGTGAGTACTCGGCGCAGGGCTCGACCGTGAGGGCACATCTGGAGGCTTGTCAGCTGTGCGCAGTGTCGTCGGCAAGACAAGAGACACATACCTCCCCACGGAGAGCTCCCTTCATCTCCAAGGTCCATTGGCGCAATGATTGGGTGTGTGTGGGTGCGGTGGTAGTGGAAGTCGCGGGTGCCGTGGGAAGCCTACTGTATGGCCATGGCAGCTATGCATTGGCGCTGGGGTTGGCTACACGGCTACCTATGACATACAGGGTCCACTAGTCGCAATCCCCATCACCTCACAACATGTGCATCATTTAGCCGTCTTTCGTTCTATCAGCCCCCAACGTTTGCATTTATTACAGATTACTACCCAGGCTCACTTTCCCGTGTTCACAGGTATAGCCGACTTTGCCGTCTTCAGACCCCAGCCTCATCACTCCCCTCGTCTGGCCTAATCGTTTCCCAAGATGGACGACCCAGCTCTCGACAAAGACCTTTGTGCCCTCAGCGGCAGGCCTAAGGTAGGTCGTGTTCACTATGCCGAGTTAGCACACTCCATATTCCAACCTCTTGGATGCCTCAAGATTGCACCTACAATTACGTGAGACATGTCCACCATCCCAGAACCCTTCGCGGATACAAGGCGTAATGGCCATGGAAGTCGTGATGTCAAAGATCAAAGCCACGGCTCCGCCATGAAGCATACCACCAGCGTTGCACAGCTGCTTAGGTACCGTGAAGCTCATGACGTTGCGCGACTCGTGAGGATTGCTGCTTGTCGGCGCATAGGTAACTGATTCGACCTTGAGTTCTCGCGCAAGGATAGCATCGTGGCCCTACAGATATAGCATTAGAGCAGCGTAGTTGCATGGACAAGGTAACATGCATCGTAATCACTGTCGCGTATGGCCTCAAACCATTGCGATACCTTCTGAAATGGCGACAGATCCTCTTCG